GAGGGAGAAACGTGTTCACTGGAGACCCTAGAGGACCAGTTCCAGGCTGGGGATCCTGCCTAATGACACTCGAACTAATCCATTCCAGGGAGACACTCAAATAAAACGCAAGAAATTCACTCTAAAGTGAAGCAGGTAAATGTGTGTGTGTGTGTGTGTGTGTAAATATTTTTGGCTTTCTGTTCCAAACAGCTCCTCAATTCTATCACATAGACAGAAAGCAGCTATAGATGGTGAATAAATTAATAGACATGGCTAAGTTCTAATAAAACATCATTTGTAGCTGGGCACTGGTGGCTCATGTCTGTAATCCTAGCTACTCAAGAGGCTGAGAACTGAGGATTGTGGATTGAAGCCAGCCTGAGTCCCTGTGAGACTTTTAACTCCAATTAACTACTCAAAAACCAAAGGTGGAACTGTGGCTCAAAGTGGTAAAGTGCTAGTCTTGAGCAAGAGCTCAGGGACAGTGCCCAGGCCCTGAGTTCAAACCCCATGGCTGACAAAAACAAAACAAACATACACAAAAAAACCCTAACTTCATTTCTAAAGATAGGCAGCAAACTGAATTTGGCCTACCTACTATAGTTTGCCCACCTCTGCTATTAATCACACACATAAAAAGGCCCAGACACTGAGGGTAATAATGGTGGGATTATAACATAAGATGGTAAGTGCATTTGTGATCTTGTTAAACAAAGCCAGATTCTTACTCTACAGAGTTTCTATCATTCAGTTCAACTGTCATCAATTTCCCTACAGCCTTGCCATGAAGATGTTTTACCCAGTTTTGAATATTTTCCAGTCTAATAGGTGAGAAGTAGTATCTCTGCGATTTTAATATTTGTATTAATTTGTGAGGGTTGACTTTTCAGTGTCCATGATCCACCTTCCTTGGGCTGTTTTACTATTAGATTGTTGTTCTTGTCTTTCTGATTTATAGGTGTTTATAGGCATTTCTGATTTATAGAGTGGCCTTTAATGTGTACACTGTGGTTGTTGGATAGTGGTGAAAGATGTCAGTGAGGTCTAGTTAGGTGTCAGTGTTGCTCAGATGGTAGTGATCCTGGGCCATGGGCATTTCAAAGTAAATATGGAACTCAGTTATGAGGCTGATTCTAAGAGAAAATATTTGGAGTAAAGGTAGGTGATATTTATATAAATAACAGGGGTGAGATGAGCTAGGAAAAGAGAAGCGTTCAAAGCTGAACCCCAGAACACCCCATGTTTGAAAGAGATGAGAGGTGAACAATCCACAAAACAACCCAAGGAGGGCATTGGTAAGGTGGGAAAGAAAGCAAAGAGCCACCTCAAAGCAGAGGAAAGGAAGCATGTCAAGGGGGAAGACTGTGAAATGCTCTGAGAGAGTGCATGTTAGAGACTTTTTGCTGGGAAATCATTTGGCAAAATGCAAACTGTTGGTGACCTTAACAGGAATACTTATAGTAGCCAGTTCTCCCATTAGACAAGGTGGTTAGAGACATGTAGCAGGCAACTGGGCAGTTGCTGATGAACTTGCTATGTTAGGCAGAATTGTCAAGATCTACCATAGCAATCTTTTGTTTTCCATGGGCAATGTTTAACTGCTCAGATATAGGCAGAGCTGTATTATATCAGAGCTGATATTCTGCTTAGCATGGATGGATAGATGGATGATGAATGGATGGATGGATGAAGGAAGGAAGGAATCTAGGTGGGGGACACGAGAGGAGTAAGGAATGGTAAGAATACTTAAAACTCAAAACTGGAAGACAGTGGATTGGAGGCCAGGTTGGTCAGAGCCCAAGTTAGCATACTTTATAAGCACCATACACATAACAAGTTAGCATACTTTATAAGCACCATACACATAACAAGTTAGCATACTTTATAAGCACCATACACATAACAAGTTAGCATACTTTATAAGCACCATACACCTAACACATCAGCCAGTCTCTTCTGAGAGAATTCCACACGAGCTTAATGTTCTGTAGTTCATCAAGAAGGAACACAATAAGGCCAGGTAAAGATTTCTTAAGTTTTATTCTTATTTCAGTTTACAACAATTCAGATGACAGAAGCCCACTATAAATGGGTATACTATATCTTAGAGTATAAGGCAACAAAGCCCAGCTACTCAAAAGACTTTTAAAATGTACCTCATGTGGCTAAATCACTGATAGTCTATGGCATGGAACTTTTTATGTCTCCCAGAAAGTACATTATCATAAGTTTCTATTTCAACAGGTTCTAAGAAATTTTATTTTTGAAAGAAAAGATTGGTAGGTAAGAATAAAAATATGATTTAAAAAGTTTATCCATGTGTAAATAAAGTATCTAATAAGTTAGTGAAATGAAGAATTTGGGAAATCAGGAGTTTTTATGTGGTATAAAAATAAATACTTTTATCTGAGTGTGGTAGCACATACCTGTAATACCAGCACTGAGGAGAGAGGGGCGGGAGGATCTTGAGTTCAAGGCCAGCCTGAACTATATAGTGAGATCATGTCTCAAAAAAAAAAAACAAAAAAAAACCCAACAAACTGTTAATTTACAATATATAAAACTGATAATAACTTACTTTTATAAGTAAATAAAAGAAAACATCTTACTGATTGTAAACTTATGTGAAAGCTTTCAAAGGCCAATCATCGTTTTTAAAAGGATCTATAGCTCTTTATAATTAATTCAGCTAATTAGCTAATCAGTGGCTGATTTCCCATTCCCCCTATTATATGACTTCTCGATGTTCTATTGCCCTAACCAAGGCTGAGGCACAAGAGGGAAAGAAGAAAATCTCAAATCAGCCATCCTCATAGCCACACCTGACTGGGGAAGGTAGTGGCAAACACATTCTCTATGGAATTAGACATTGTTCTCTATTCTTAAATGTTCATTATGCAAATGAAAAATTATTTGTAAAATAAAATAGGTTTGCTATTTCATTAGAGTTCTTGAACCTGGGGACATGAAAAATGTACAATTATCACCATTTGAGTGAATTGGACGGAAATGTTCCTGTCTGAAATCTAAAAGAAGATACAGCAATATTGAACTTGTCTGTCAGCTAGGTAGGTGCTCCTGGAACACTTGGAGGATGCCACAAAGATCTCAGGCCTGGACTTCAGGGAGTTCACAATTTGGCTATGTTCAGCCATGCAACTTTAACCACATAACTCCTGAGTTTCCCATCTGCCTACTTCACAGACATGGTAGCAAGTATAAAACAAGGCAATGTGTTCAAGTGTGTCTCAGAAGACATACTGCACCAGACTACAGTTATCAGCCTGTGCTTTAAAAATGTAGCTAGCTCTGAATTCTTTTGTGGGTTAAAAAAATCAATAGAAAAAAATGGAGAAATGTAAATGTTCATGAGTCAGTGAGCCCAGGTGTATGTAAGTAATTTACAAACACTTCTTCACAATAACATCAAAGATATTACTCATGGACTTTTTAAAATTAAAAATAATCTTTGAGGCTAAATATTCAGCAACTTAAACTTATTCATTCTTTCATTTACAAGAATATTCACTAGAAGACATTATAACTCTCCAAAGGAGAGATTCCATATTTAGTTCAGTTCTCTGCCCTAAACACTTAATTATAAGGCAGAAGAATGAAATAGAGTGTAAAATAAGCAAAAATATATAATTCTACACCACAGTCCCCTTATTTTAAAGCGCTTAATAAGAGTACTTTATATTTATAAACCATCTAGTATCTACACAATAGCACTAACTCACAACTTGAACCACAATAATCAAAGTCAATGTGCATTTTTATTCCCATTTAAATTATTAAAAATTTGATGTTGTTGAAAAATTGCACTGCATTAAAAAATGAACAATAGGCGATAAACATGGTTACTATTGAACAACTAAGTGTTGGTTGAGTGTTTAGAATATAGGATGGGAATTTTAAAAAAACTATTGAAGAAATACAGCAGTGTATATGACAGGGTTCCAGTAGATATGGGTTTGGGCAATGGATGCCATGTACAGATATGCACACTAAGTAAGGTGACTGACAACCTCTCTTTCAGAGGAGCAAATGATATGCTTCTTACAAGGACAAAGGAACTACTTGTCATTCTAAATAATACCGCTGAATTATAGTAGGTGATACAGGAATTTTAAAAAGAGAGAGAGAGAAGAAATGTACACATTGTAGTGTAGATAACTACTACTAAGTTCTGGTCAGTAGCAAAATTTGGGGACCAAATGATGCAAACATATTAATGTGCTTAAGAATAACTTGAAGCTGGGCATTGTCAGCTCATACCTGCAATGTTAGCTACTAAGGAAACGGAGATCTGGAGGACTGTTATTTGAAGCCTGGGCAGAAAAGTCCATGAAACTCCATTTCCAAAATTACCACCAAAAAGCAGGACTGGAAATAAGGCTCAAACGGCAGAGTGCCAGCCATGAAGTATTGAGGCCCTGTCTCATATAGCCAAAAAATTTAACTTCATAATGCTGATGTTTCAATAGCACTAGGACCTTTACTGTTGGCAACCCAAGATTGAGTTTTTCATCAAAGGCTTCTCTGTTTCTGTTTCTGTCTTTCCCTCTCTCTCTCTCTCTCTCACACACACACACACACACATTCATACACATATATTACCATACCATCTCATAGCTCATACAAATGCAAATTATCAAACAAATGCAGCTCAGATCATTACCTGTTCTTTACTATGAAGTTTTCTGAAAAGCATCACCACTTTTTTCAACAAATCAATGGTCAAAATCAGCTCACTGCTTTCATTAAAGAACTCTCAAGGGCTGGGAAGGTGGCTCAGTGGTAGAGTGCTTGCCTTGCATGCATGAGGCTCTGGGTTCGATTCCTCAGCACCACATAAGCAAAAATTAAAAAGCCGGAAGTGGTGCTGTGGCTCAAGTGGTAGAGTGCTAGCCTTGAACTGAAGAGCTGAGGGACAGGGCCCAGGCCCAGAGTTCAGGCCCCACGACTGGACCCCCCCCCAAAAAAAAAGAACTCTCAAGATCTTTCTATGATCCCAGAACTCATGAGGCAAGATGACTGTGAATTTGAGTCAGCCTCAGCAAAAAGCAGGACATTATCTTTAATTTTTTTTTAAAAAAAAAAAGATTCTCTTTATGGGTGGCCTTCCAAGAACTTTCAGGGTTGAGGTTGAATTAGCATTGGCCCATGTTAGACACAGGGAGAAATGAGTTTACCCTAGGCCACACAGAGAATAGGTAAGTCATTTTAGGACCTTTACATTTGTCCCCAGATGGCACAGATAGTGTATTTAGCACAATAAGAAGTATGGTTGGTCCCTTTCATTCAATAACATCCCCTTTGCAGTACAACATACCTATCTATCTATCTATGCAAAGACAAAAACAGCTAAACTTTAAAGCTCAGTTGCTTCTAACCTCCTGTTACAACTCAAACAATAATAAAGTATATTTCTGCTAGGTCTGTGGTTTCAAAAGTATCCATTGTAAACATCCTGTATTCTTTCCTATTCTGTTAATTTCAGAACTTGAGATTGTAACTATGTCTATGTCAAATTATTTATTCTACAAAAAGCAGCACAAATACCATTAATTTTAGTTTCAGCACAAGTTCCTTTAACAAGAAAAAAAAGTTAAGGCCATTTAATGGAATCAGGGCCAAGTGAAGATTACCCTGCAAGGTCACACGATTGATGTAGAAGTTCTGGAAAGGAACCAGCAGTGGGTTATCTTGTGTTTCATTCCTCAGCAGCTTGAAGACAGTCTGTAGGATTCCTTAGTCTCCAACATCTCCATCTCGGTCTCCAATAAGCCAAAGGAAGTGGAAACCCATGGCTAACAATGCTGTCCCAAGCAGGTCACCTAGTGCTGTCAGGTAGGGGATGGAGAAACTGTCCGGGTCCTTCCCTTTCCTCCAGAAGTGATGGACCATCCAGTCAGCGATCCACAGCAGGGTAAAGACCTAGGAGAGACACCAGAGATGACTCAGCCATCCAACAGCCTGACCCTGTTACACATGGCTATGAGCAGAAGCAATGATCTCTCAAAGGAAAAACATGCGCTCAAGCCAGGAGCCATGCTTGAAAAGAAATATTTAATTAACAGAGAATTTTCTATTTGCAAGAAAAAATAACATGTGTTTGTAGTTCTTAACATTTTTCTTCAGCTTTTCACCTTCAGGGTCTCATTCCATCCAGCCTCCTCAACAGCCATAATGGTTCTTATATTTTAATAGCACTACAGGCTTTCCCCAAAGCACTGTGCAGCTACAGCTTTTCCTATGTGAAAGGTTTGTGATGAAGGAATAAGACCTACAAAGAAAGGACTGGAAATTAAAATGAGGAATTATTTAACAGACTCTTATTTCAGGTACATCAAAGGAAACAGGGACATGAGTTATATTCATTTACTAAAGAAAAATTAAGCATTATTTCATTAGGAAGCTGAATGCTGGAAACAAGACTTGAGGGTAGATTCACAATATCACAACTAAAAGTCAATGGATAATTCCCTAAATTGATCATGCAAAATCATCCAACAAATAAAACATGGTGATAAAATAAGAAAAACTAAAGAAGTATGGAGAAACAGTAGCTGCTGTTTTACAGGCATGTACATTTACATGCACATATCCATTTACATCTATGAAACTGCTATTCAAAAACTGAAATTGGACAAAATAGAATTGTCTACATGAGAAAATAGAGCACACACAAGGTACACACAAAGAATATTTCATAAGCCTTTTTTTTTGTTGTTAGTCATGGGGCCTGAACTCAGGGCCTGGGCGCTCTCCCTGAGCTCTTCAGCTCAAGGCTAGTGCTCTTCCACCTGAGCCACAGTGCCACTTCCAGTTTTCTGAGTGGTTTACTGGAGATAAGAGTCTCACGGACAGAAGTGGTGTTGTGGCTCAAGTGGTAGAGCGCTTGCCTTGAGCTGAAGAGCTGAGGGATGGTCCTCAGGCCCAGAGTTCAAGCCCCACGACTGACAAAAAGAAAAAGAAAAGAAAGAAAGAGTCTCACGGACTTTCCTGCCCAGGCTGGCTTTGAACCATGATCCTCAATCTCAGACTCCTGAGAAGCTGGGATTACATGTATGAGCCACTGGCACCCGGCACCTTTGTTTTTATTTATGCATATATATATATATATATACTATATTTTATAGCTATATATATATAGCTATATGCTTTAATTAAAAAGTTTTTTATTGAGTGTTATTGTCAAAATAATTTTGGAGCTAGCTGTGGTGGTGTACAGCTATAATCCCAGCATTTGGAAGGAAAAGGCAGGAGAACTGTGAGTTCAAGGCCAGCCTGGACTATATATTGAGGTTCTGTATCATAAAAACTGAAAAATCAAAAGTAAAATAAAAATAAACACTCATCCGGAAGTGGCACTGTGGCTCAAGTGATGGAGTGCTATCCGTGAGCAGAGAGGCTCAGGGACAGAGCCCAGGCCCTGAGTTCAAGCCCCAGGACCAGAAAAATAAAAAAGTTGCTCATCTATGGCAGGGTGTGAGCCGCTCACACTTGTAATCCTAAGTACTCAGGAAGCTGAGATCTGGTGATCATGGTTCAAAGACAGCCTAAGTAAGAAAGTCTGTGAGACTATTATCTCCAATTAACCATCAGAAAACTGGAAGTGGAGCTATGGCTTAAAGTGTTACCCCTGAGTGAAAAGTTCAGAGACAGTGCCTAGGCCTTGAGGTCAAGCCCCACAACCAACAACAAGAACAAAAAGTTAGTCATTTAACCAATAGCAGGTTAGGTTCCAAGATTTAATAGGTAAATTCTGGGTAGGGGAAAACTGTGTCTTGTTTTTACTTGATCCTCTGGATTCTAGAAAAATACTTACAAATGATAAACCTAAAACAGTTATTGTGAAAAAGGGTCTCTGTCTTTGAGTAACCGTGCTACAGTCAATATGAAAAAAATCTCCATGTCTGACTTTCCTCATGAGCCTTCCATACCTACCACACATGGGCTGGCTACAGCAATGGAGGGGATTGTATATGGAAAGGGCCACGCCCATGCCAGTTTCTAGTACCAGACTCACTATATTACATCAGTTACTACACTGGCTCAGAAAGTGTGTGGCCTTTATTTAAAAGGTTAACAGCACAGAAGCATGAACACTGGTTTCTAACATCAAGGGGCTCCATGACTCCTGGACCTTGGATCTTTAAAATTAATGAGTGTTTTCACAGCCTGTTTTAGCTCTAAACTAGAAAGGTAAGTGATCGTTGCCATAAACTAGAATGATCACTCTACTCAGCTTTGTTTTCCCCTTCCTCTCTCCCTCCTTTCTCCCTTCACTTTGTACATTTACATAATATGCTGCAGACTCAAGTTCCCTCCCTATACAATTCCTCTCTTAAAGCTATTATGATGACTTCAGGTTCAAGCAGGTTTGAATTTTATTTTTCAAAACGCCTTTGCAAACCTCCTTTTTCCTCAGAATGCTGTGTGTAATAAATTATTAACAATAATATCAGCTCTTTCTCAGTGGAACATACTTTGTTTCAAATTGGAACGATCATTGAAGGAATGCAGACTTTCCACTGGGACAGCCATGCATGTCAGCTATCAGACCAACGGGAGACTGCTGTGTTTTTATATTGTCTGTTTTTTTAAATTAAATATGCATAACCTCTCTAGGTAAATATTCCTCTACCATGGCAACTTTGTAACTCTGGCTAATTATGCAAGTTACAGATGTACTGCTTGGATTTAAATAAATATGTAAGCACCAGAATATATATTTGCTTTGGATGATCTTGCTTTTCTAGGCCGGCTCCTTCTCTGAGCTAGAATGAGCCTTCTCATGTATTAGCATCCTCCTAATGCTGCCATCACAGCCTGCGGGACAGAAATGCTAAGAAACATGGGACAAATAAACCCCAGAAGTATCAAGTTAGTACAGTTCTTCCCAACCCCTAACTTTACAGAGGTTGAATTCATGCCCTCAACAAATATCCACACTTGTTAAAAATCTAATATTTAAATGACTTCTAGGAATTATTTAGAATTTCCATTCCTCAGGAATTCAGTCTGCTTTCCACAGCTGCTTTGTGTGAGGTGGCAGGTGGGGGCGAGGAGGGATGAATGTTCTGCAGGGAAGCAAAGTCTTCCTAACCTTTTCCTTCCTAGACACTGTGGCAGGGTTAGCACCTCTGTCTTCTGAGCACAACATTTAGGTCACTAAGGTTAAGTGGCTTGTCCAGTTAGACCACTAGCTAAGATCTGTTTACCCCCGAAGCCCCCATGGCTTCCCCTGGTATCACTTTACTCCTGTGGAGCAGTGAAAGTATTTCTATCTGTAGATTAATATCCCCCAATAAACGCATACTTTATAAAAAATATGCACACACACACACACACACACACACACACACCATAGTCCATTTGAAGCTTCTATTTTTAGCAGCACTGCCAACAGCCTGCCCAGTGAAGACAAGTTAAAATGTTCCATATACTATAAGTAAACAAATGTCTTTAAAAAAATGCTCCACTGAGTTGCATGGAGTAAAGAAGGCTTAGAGGGAAACTGGTGTGCAGAAGGTATGGAGCACTGAAGCCCTTGGTCCTGAAGGCATCTCCAGTTAACCAGAAAGATGCTGGACCAGAGGTGCAGCTCAAGTAGGAAAATGCGAGAGCCCAAGCTCTGGTATTTGCTCTCTTTCTCTCCCTCTCCTTCTCTCTCCTTCCCTCCCCCCTCTCTGTTTGTACATTTGTCTGTCCTTCTGTCTATCTCTCTCTTTCCCCCCCCCCACCCCCCTAAAGAGTGAATTTTAAACACTGCCATCACAAATTAACCATTAGGAGATTGTATTTTATTATATGACTTAAAAACTTTTGAGCCAGACACGGTGGCTCATGCCTGTAATCCTAGCTACTCAGGAGGCTGAGATCTGAGGATCACAGTTCAAAGCCAGCTAGGGCAGGAACGTCCCTGAGACTCTTATCTCCAATTAACCACCAGAAAACCAGAAGTGGCGCTGTGGCTCAAGTGGTAGAGCGCTAGCCTTGAGCTGAAGAGCTGAGGGACAGCACCGAGGCCCAGAGCTCAAGCCCCACAACTGACAAAAAAAAGTTAGGGGTATATCTCAGTGACTGAGTGAACTTAGTCTATACAAAGCCCTGGATTTAATTTCCAGCACCAAGGAAAAAATTCCTCATTTTGAGAAGGAGCCCATAATATATTTTTTTTTAACTTAACTTTCCAAGGAGGGAAGCATGGTTCTATATAGAGTGCCTGCCTGCCTAGCAAACAGAGTCCTAAGATCAAACCTCCAATACCACCAAAAAAGAAAAAAAAGAAAAAAAAAGAAAGTGTATATAAAGGATTAATATCCAGAATACATAAAGAGCTTCAAAAATCAAACAGAAAAGAACAAATAATTCAGTTGGCAAATGAACAAATTAATGGAACAGATAGTTCTCAAAAGAAATACAAATGACGGGCTGGGAAGGTGGCTCAGTGGTAGAGAGCTTGCCTTGCATGCATGAGGCCCTGGGTTCGATTCCTCAGCACCACATAAGCAAAAAGAAAAAAGCCGGAAGTGGCATTGTGGCTCAAGTGATAGAGCGCTAGCCTTGAGCTGAAGAGCTGAGGGACAGCGCCCAGGCCCCACGACCGGACCCCCCCCCCCCAAAAAAAAGACATACAAATGACTAATATAAAAATATGAAGAAATTTGCTGGGCACTGGTGGCCCACGCCCATAATCCTAGCTACTCAGGAGGCTGAGATCTGAAGACTGTGGTTCAAAGCCAGCCTAGGCACAAAAGTCCATGAGACTCTTATCTCCAATAAACCACTCAGAAAACTGGAAGTGGTGCTGTAGCTCAAGTGGTAAAGCGCTAGCCTTGAGCTGAAGAGCTGAGGGACAATGCCCAGGCCCAGAGTTCAAGCCCCATGGCTAACAACAAAAAAGAAAAAGAAAAAAGAAAAAAAATTCA